GTTTAGTTTGAAAGGATGAAATTTCTCACCCTGGGCAGCAGACAGAGTTGTAAGGGCCAGTTTCAGAAATAAGATTTTGTTCTATGTTATATGCATACACACACACACACACACACACACACACACACATTGACACATACCTCATAAACTTCTGAGGCTCCTGAGAAATCCCTCCCTGGTTTCCTTGGCCCTGCAATGAGGGAGGCTAATTGAGATTCTTCAAGGGAAATCCCCTTTCTTTTCTTTGGCAGCTCTGAAAAGACTTATTAAGCATTCTATACTCCATTCTTTCCTGGACCCTGACTTTACGTAGTCTAAGTGTTAAAGCCCAGGGAGTGATGTCTGGGATTCCCTCTAGTCTTCCCTCCCCCCAAGCTTAGTGTGGAAAGATATCCTTATCTCTTGGAAGAAGGATTCAGAGGACAGCCATCAAAGGTGACCTGGCATGAAACTTGCCCTTCCTTTTACTCCACAGATGAGCCTCTTCTTGAGAAGCTCACTGCACACTAGAAGGCTCCATTCACCCGTGGTGTTGTACTGCCCCCCGCAGTATGGGGGTGTGTGGGGATGACAGAGCACTCTCTCATAGTCTTCCCTATCTGCCAGTGACTACTCTTTCTTACTAAAGCAATCCACTGGAAATCCTGCCTCACAATATCATGCCCACCACCACTTTTGAGTATCATCTTCGAGTGATCCCTTCAAGGGCAAGCCCTTCTGTCACTCCCTGCCTGTGGTCTACCTTCCCATTGTGAGCTATGCTGATGAGGAGCTGGGGTGGGCAGGGTTAGGAAGGAAAAGGGCAAGGCAGGACACAAGGCAAGGAGCACTCGTGACTTCCCCCTTTCATTATACGTGTCCGCTGAACTGTCCTGTTACCGTTTTGTAATGGGTTCTTCCATGGCAAGCTGACCTTTTGGCTGAATAGGTCAAACTCCCACTGAGCACTAATCCTCAGCCTTCCCCACACTTGTGCATCTGTTTGTGCATCTGCAGAGGTAAGAAGTACTGGTTGGGAATATGACTGGGAGCGTGTGGTTTATTTCCCAAAAGAAGGATTGGCTTTTACTGCACTGAATTAACTCTCAAAGACCACCATGTGAGGCTGTGCCGAAGAGTGCAAATTAGAATATTTTTGCTGATGTTGTTAAGGGGCAAAGCTAATTTTTTCAGATACATGCTTTAGAGTATGTCTTCTAATTTTTAATGAGAGAAAGGCCAAATGTACAGTCCTAATGATTCTTCATAACATTTTGGATTTCTGAAACTATCAGAACTTCCTTAGGTGATTAAAAAAGAAAAAAAAAGTTGTGAGAGAGAGACACCTATATAGCACACACATATATCTATCTTCCATTAAAATCTCTTAAAACCCTAGGCGTGTTTTTTTTTTTTTCAACCCGTATAGAACATGAGCTAATGAGTGTAGCATTTGTTAATAATTATATATTGGACCTAGTTTTGTTTTAAACTGCTCAAAACTTATTTTGGACTGTTTATTAGGTTTTATACTAGGTTCTTTATATTAGAGATTTTTAATATCACATAAGGACTCCATAAATGTTGACTTGAAGTTTAAGTTAGACTACTATAATGCGATCTCCTTTCTCCCTTGTAACAGTTTCTATAAGCCATTCTACTTACACAGCTCTCACATCTCACTGTCAGTGCGTTAGCGACATAATCTTCATAGCCAATGGGGCACACGTCCCATTTATCTAGCGATGTCCTCTGTGTCTGTTGTCATTTTAGCATTCTTTGCATTTCAAGAGTAGTCTATTTTAATTGAACACACGAATAGGTCAGCATATCAGATGAAACACCCACCTGTTCAGCAATAGTAAGTGTACATTTTCTGAGCTACCAAATGGTTATAGAAACTATTTCCAAAATGCAAAAATGTGAGTGTTTCATAAATGATGCATTACTTTTCTGAGGACAGTGGACCTCATTCAGTTTCTTGTTTTGTTTTGTTTTAATTGCCAGTGGGCATGTGTACTTAGAGAGGGAAAGGGATAGAGCACCCCCCAAGTGGAGTGTGATCATACCATCATCGCCTCTCACCCATTTCTCTATCCTGTTGGGATTTGGAGCATGCAAGCACAATTGCCTAATGTGTTTTTCCAAGCCTCTGAGGCCAGGAGTCAAACTTTGTTTGGCTGTGGGATATGGCTCACTTTAACCACTGTGCTACAGGGCCAATCCGAATTTTTGTTCTTTATGGGGTTTTTTGTTTGTTTCTTTTCTTTTTCTTTCTCTCTTTTTCTTTTTCTTTCTTTCTTTCTTTTTTTTTCTTTTTTTTTTTTTTTTGCTGGGCATTAATGATATTGTGTAAACATAATGAGATTAATGTGGAGAAACAAAGTTATTCTGTTTGCATTATTCCTGAGTTACCCGATTATTGTCTCCATTCTCAAAATGCCAAATGTGATAGGGTAAGTGTAAGATAAGAAGTACACATTTAACATCTATTCAGTTACCAATAGTGCTAGAGTTAAAGCTAGCTCCTACTGGGGCATAATGGGCTCCTGTTTAACATATTTATGTTGGCTGTAAAATTAGGAATTGTCATTACAGCCCCACATCACCTGCATAAGTGCAAAACATATAAATCAAGAGAAGTTCCAGTGCCATAAAAATGCCATCAAGTAGAATAGCCTGAAAGTACTTTCAAGATACTTGTATATTATGTTAGCATGAGTGAAGATACACACTCAGATTTCCTAGGCTTGAATAAGCCCGGTGCACACCACTGAAGTCAACTGTCTGCTTCTAGAAGGCATTTAAGATGCCATCTCTTGTTACTGGGCCAGCCTTTTGGGCCTCCTAGTAAATAAAATACTTTCATTATATTTCCTATGATGTTTTAGTCTCCTGTAGGTTGGGAGCTATTTGTTTCCTGGTCCTCTCTTGATCCAAAACTTTATAGAATAGTTCATGTTCTCAAAAGTCTATTTCTATGTGTGTGTGAGGTGTAGTGGTTTATTTTGAACTGTGTAATTAGAAGCCCTTAAGTCCCCCCCCCAAAAAAAATTATGAGCTATTAGTGAAGAGCTTTCTGAATCCTAATTATTGCCTCAGAAACAGAGTGGACACTTTAGAACTTTTTTTCAACTCCCCCTTCTCTCTCTCTCTCAAAAGCCACCCACCCCCATAATCTTAAAAAAAAAAAAAAAAAAAAAAAAAAAAAAAAAAAGACTGCAGATTTTATTCATGTGGGATCATTCACACCAAGCTACCATAATGTGCAATTAACACTCTAGAAACTGAAAACAGTATTCAGCAAGACAGCTGCATTAGCAAAAATGCCAAAGGAGTTTTGAAGGGATGTGCATGTTAGAATAGGAAATGAATCGGGAATGCGTGCGTGCACAGTTGTACTGTCTTAAATTATATCTGAATATTAAAATTTAAAAAATTTATATCTGTGCTTGTAATAATGGTTAATCTCAAAATAGAAATCTGATTTTTTTCTGTTTTAAGAGTATTTGTTGTGTGTTTTACCTCTCAAGCAAAGGAGGAGGTTGGGATGGAGATCTGTAAGATCCCTTCCAGCTGGAATATTCAGTGATGATAATCACTCTTCAGTTTTATTTTATAAATTTTTCCATTGAAAAACTACCCCTTTTATTTTTCTCTTGCCAGTAATAATACCTAACACTCATAGTATTTTCAAAGTGCCTTTCAGACATTATAGACACTTACTCACAAATGCAGGGGTAAGCGCCCTACTTTCACACAGCATAAGAATCATTAAGTGCCTTTATATTAAAATCATTACTAAGCTATGGATCCAGGTGACTGACTTAGTAACTGAAAAGACAGAATTATCCTAGAAGCATTCTGTGAGAATTTTCTCCTCAACTAGCTGAACATGTTTTTAGAAGTAAGAGAATAGGAGATTTTGATTTGATTTTCAATTAGCAGTGTCTGGTGAGTGAGCAGAGGTTTGTAACAAAATTTCAAGTAAAGAAGGAAGGCTTGAAAAATATACTTGTTGGAGATACAGAAAAGATAGGAATATTTTCTTTTATAAATCACTGCAAACAGATTTATAAGATGCTAGAGAATAACAAGCAAAAGAGAGAGAGTGAGTGAAGAAAAGAAAAGAAAAAAGAAAAATAAATACTTTAAAGAGTAGGTTGAGAACAAATGGGCACCCCATTAAAAAATTGTAAAGGAATGACTCTGAATTCTAGATTCCACAAATGTGATGCACTAAGCCCAGTTTTATTAAGAATTATGGGGCTCCGTGAGAGACAGGTGCTTACAAGCAAAGTGTGTGGGGTATATCAGGAAGAGAAGGGCTGACCCTAACCCAGCAGGAGGACAGGAGTATTCAGGAACTCTAGAAATGAAACAGTCTGAGCTGCTGAGGCACAGTCTGGCCAACAATCCACCCCGGCTTCTTGTCAGTTGACTAGGAATATTTATTTACCCATTAATATTCAGTTAATATTAAAAATCCAGGCATCTTGGACATTTAACACTAGCACAAATGGTCATTAATGAGAATCTCTCATCTGATATGTTGAGCTTATTAAAATGTGATACAATTATTTATTACATTAGAAAACCTAAGTTTTGTGTGTGTTCTTTTCTAGTTGAGAAATGAGTTTTCTTCTGGGGGAATGCAGTATGCAATGCTTTAAAAATAACGTTATTTAAAGAAAAACAATGTAGTAGTTCAAAAGGATCTGATCTTTTATATATTTTTACTCCATTAAAGAAAAAAAGCAATACAAAAATAATGGGAAAAAATGTCTAGATGTGGCTATTTAATGTTTCTAGAAGTTGATATTTTGAGTTGTGAATTTCACCTGGGCTGTGCTTATGGGCAGACAACTCAGAACCAAACACAATACCGGGTAGTGTTTCGATTTTTCTTGCTGTAGCAACTAGGTGGGGATGCAGTTAGAAAGTAAGCTGAAGGTATGAACTCAGAGCCCCAGCTTAATTTTTCTTTTTTCTTTTCTCTTCTTTCTTTCTTTTTTTTCAAGTTATAGGTGCACAACGAAGGAGAAGCCCCAGTGCACTAGCCATTGAAGTATTTGAAGCACATTTGGGAAGTCACATTTTGCAGGTACCTTTAAAAGAAAATGAAACTTTCTTATATTTTAATGAGAAAATCCTTACATTTAGTCTTTTTTAACATTTTTTTTTAAAACAAAACAAAATCTCAGCTGTGTATTTGACTGATGTTATTTTATCTTGAAATTCTGAAATTCTTATGAATTTCTTCTTTTCTTTTTACAAAGCCATCCCTTGAGAGACTATTAATGAGAAAGGGAGGGCAAGTATTATTTGTGCTGTAATAATTTAGATTAATTGCACCATCTAGTTGATACGCAATGTATAGTAAATGGCTGTTCTCAGAATGATTGTGTGTGCTGTATTTGTAAGTGGATGTATGTGTATGTCTTTGGAGTTCTTTATTGTTTTCAGAGGAGCAAAAATTTTATTGTGAAAGTACTGTCACATTTCTGTGTTGCCAAATTTCAGTTCTTTGCTTGAGTGTGTATTCGTATGTGCTTCCAACCTTAATGTTTTTCTCCCCAAATTAGGAAGTTCTCAGAGTGAAATGATAAAGATTATTTGTAGATAAAAGGAGATGGACAATAATTGATTTTGTCAGTGAATTTCATGACATAAATATGAGGGTTGCTAGGATGGGACTGTAGTTACTTAGCCCTAGTGAAACTTCATCCTACACTCATTTCACTTACTGAAAACTGTTTTGTTCTAAGACTGTGCCATCAATTCAACACCTCTGCCTTCATCCATGGCTAATTGTTCTACATTGTTTCTGCTTTTAGGATAAATGTGAACATGGTCAAACCTTATTTTAATTATAGAAGCTACATTTTTTTTTCTTTGCGTAAAATTGAGAAACAGACATGTTGAATATTTGGAAAACGTGGTTATGGTTTTTTTAGATAAACTTTCAGGAAATGAAGGTAAATTCCAGATTTCTGTCTATTTTGAGTCTTCATAGGGCTTTTCTAGATAGTCAGAAAGAGTATTGAAACTAACGTATTTCCTCTAAAGTATGTACAATAGGAGCTTTTACCAGATTCTCCAAGAAAATTAGCTCATAATCAAATCCCAGTGGCATTTTAAAGCAGTTATTTTGGTGGCAGTTTGAGAATCACTTGAAACTTGTTTAAAGGAAACATCCTTGGGTCTCAACCCGAACCTGTTGAATCGAATTTACCTGCTGAAGTCCAGTAGTTTGATTTTTAACAACCTTTAGAGGTAATTGTGATATTTTACCAGATCAGAGATACTACAATTCATATTTGCCAATTTAAGGCCTTGAGAAGTCTTGCCTTATTTTTTTTATTTATTCTGTATTTCTTTTTTTCCCCCCATTAGTATCTGTTAAAATCTCATAGAACTGATATTTCTTGAAACACAACTTGGAAGATGTTACTCTGTCATGTACATGAAACTTTAAATTGTCTTTGCAATACCATAAGTTAGTTATAAGGATACAGAAAGGCTATTTTTTTCCCTAGGTCTTCACATTTTAATTTCATTCTTTATATCCTATGTTCAGAATCTCAATTGTAAGTTTTATATAGGCCATGCTGTATATATTGTTAAATTCTAATGTATTTCAGAACTATTCAGTTTATATTCTAAAGAAACCAGTACCTAGGACCTAGTCAATGAAAGAAATAGTTTAAAGAGTGACCCCAGTTATTATCCTCTGACATTTTTTCTGGAAGTCATGACTCTAAAATTTGCAAGGACTTTAACCCAAAACTTAGCAGTTTGAATTGCACATCAGCTCAGATACATGCATGCACACACATGCACAGTGTATATGTATAAAATGACTGACCTAAATGCTAATGCAACATTATACTTCACTAAGAAAACAGGATCTAGAATGAGGCTATAAAGCTTTCTCTAATTTGGGTTGAGTACACTCTGCTCAGATACCACAATTAAAAAAAAAGAAACAGAAAACTGGATGTCATTGGTAACCATCATGTTACACAGAGCATGGTAAAGGACCTGGGGAGGTTTAATTTGGAAAACACATGACTTAAAGGGGAGATTAATGTCCTCTATACAGTTGGAGACTTCATATGAACAACAAAAACAAAAACAAAACAAGAAAAACAGACACACTCTCTGTCTCCAGAGTATAGAAAAAAGAGAAACAGGTGCAAATTGAAGAGGAAAAAAAAAAATCACCTTTGTATCAGAAACTTCTAAATAGTGCAAGTCACATTTGGAATTTGTTTAAAGCCCTTGCTTTAAGGGGATATAATAGGGTACTCAAAAGGTTCATGGGAAATGAGTATTACAAGGAAATGGTTCATAGTTTTTATAGTTTTTTGCACCAGACTAAACTTGTACTTTAGTTCCATTTTCTCACGAACTTTTTGAAGTCCCGTCAGTAAGTGACTTGGTAGGAATGTGTTCAAGAGTCAAGAATGCCAGGCATCCTAGTGTGGTTACGTAAGTAATCTTACAATTGCCCTACAAACTAGGACTCCTTATATCATTTGGTTTTAACACCAGTGTTCTTGACATGGAAGAACTATATACTTGTAAATTAAATGACAGAATTGTGGGCAAGAAAGGGTTAGGAAGAAGTAGAAGCTTAATTTCTATTATTCAGTAGTTATCTTGCCTAATTGGAAGGGAAACTCTTGAGCTTTTAGACCCTTATCTTTTTCATTTGCAACAATATTTCAATGTTCTGCAAGGATAGGATGGCTTTTGCATTTTGTTTCAGGAGTATCCAAGGTAGAATCTGGTCAATTCATGGTGATTGGAATGAATTTTTCCTTTTCTTCCCTCTTTCCTACCCTTCTTTCACTTGACAGTATTTCATAAAACCTGTATGTGGCCAGTAAGGTGAAGTTATGGTCTCTAACCTTACAGTTTATGGTTATTCACTTCCCACTCCTGAATGTTTCAGATACTTAGTAAGAACACAAAGTTTACCAAACAGGACTGCTGTCTTTTACTATCTTGCAGTCATTTGAGGAATGAAGAACCAGAAGACCTCAGAAAATGAGGAACATCACTCAGTACAAATACTATGAGGCTACAAACTATTGGGTTGTTGGAAAAGTCATGATGCACTTTTGCATAGAAAAAACACATCAGTATTTTTTCGATAACCAAGGAGCAAGGCTCTAGATTTGCCACAAAGCATCAAAGATGACATCTCAAATATGTTGGTGGGTGAATAGAACTTTATTAGGCAAGGAGTACATGAAAAGGAACATCTCATATAAAGGCATGAGAGCAAGTAGACCTAGTTTGGTGAGTGTTAAGATATTTGGCATAGTGGCTGCGTTGTGTGCCCATAAGAGTGATGAAGGTGGAGAAAGTATATGTGCCACCTTGTGAAAGGCCTAGTGAGCCAACCCAGGCTCACTATGAGTTACTAACCAGTGATGAGCCATGGAGAAGGCTTTCATGCAGGAGAGTTATAAGAGAAGCGTTTGGTTTCTTTCTGTCTAAGAAGTCTTTGAATAGTAAGGAGCAATAGAAAGAGACCATTTAGGAAATTGCTACAACAGTCTAAAAGAGAGAAGATGATGATCTTCAAGATAGAGCTCTGTGAATGGACAAGCAGATAGGGAATGAGATAGAATCATGGGCACACATGGTCCTACCACATGACAAGATATCATAATGACATGGGACCAGCAGTTAGCAGAATGGCTATGTCGCTGGACTCCCATGTAGTCGACTGCGGTTCGAGTCCCAGACCCGGTGGCTTAAAACTCATGCCGGGTGCGTGTGCGTGCCTGCCCAAGATCCCGAGAGGAGAATGGAGGAGAAGGGATTGCAGCGTGGCCATCCTCCCGGGGGGTGATTTCTCACTTTCTGTCTCTATGTCTCTCTCTGTCTGTCTGGCGAGTGCACGCACCCTATAGCAAAAACCTCTCCAAAAAAAAAAAAAAAAAAAAAGATATGATGATCACAGGTTTTCGAGGTATGTAACTAGCTGTCTGAATATCCTGTCACCAGAGGGAAGATGAAAGAGATACTCTCTTCAATAGCCAAGTTACTATGAGGAAAGCAGTTAGAAACCTGTATCTGACCCTCTACAGCAACATCAGGGCTAGTGCTGAAAATATGGCTGGGAATTACTAATTGGCAGTATACAGATGAATGACAGTTCAAATAAGTGATGAGCTGTAGACCCATGGAAATGATGTGGTGCACAGAGAGGGTTAAAGAGAGGTAACTCTGGGGTATGTCATTACTAAGAAGCAAGTAAAGATAAGAAAGGAAGAGACAGGATTGAAGAGGAAACCATAGGATAATATATTGCTCAAGGAAGGAGTGTTAATGATGCCAAGGTAGCTGAGAATAAATCCTTCTCTGCACAAACATTGAAGAGATGTCATAGGTTTTGTCAATGAAATGGCTGTTTAGTGAAATATTAGGTGCAGAAGGCAAACCTGAAGGGGATAAAAGGTAAAGGGGAGAATCTGGAAGTTGGTGGTAAAGAAAATTGGGATATAAGAAGCTAAGGTCGAGGGAAAATTATATTCTTCGTGCTCTGAGATTATGTTTATGTGTCAGATTCACAGGGCCATTTTGTGCCTACTCGAAAATGGATGGAAAGCTAACTCATTTGGCCAGTTATGTGCTGCTTAGCAATTAGTCTTTTCAAAATCAATATCTTGTGGTCATGTCTGTATTAAGAAAGGATTGTTTTTCATTATTAATGGCTAAATGCCATTTCCTATTATGGATGTATCATAATTTAACCATTTTCCTGCTATTGGGTGTTCTGCTTATATCTAGAAATTTGCATTTCTAAAACAAATACCAACTGGGGTGTGCACATGAATGCACATGCATGTATTTTAATTAGAAAGCATAGTCCAGATGGATTTTAGCTCATACTGAGTTTTTACTACTGAGTTTTATGTGTTGTGCTAAGTTCTCTTCTTATAAAATCACTGAGTACTCACAAAAGGTACCTATGATCTAGATGATATGATTATGTACATGTTAAAATTGAGTAGACTAAGACTTAAAAATCTTCAACTTGAGGTCACACTCTGGTTAGATAACATAGCTAAATTAGAACCTGAG